ATGGGCTCAGGAGCAGGGACGGTGACTGGAGTCAGAGACGAGATTTAAATGAAGAAGACACGCAGCCGTCTACCTCACTCTAAACCCTCAACCACAATATTTACCTTCACCCACCTTCAGTAGGTGTCAGGACAGACTCAAGGAAGCCAAAGCTGGTACTGCTATTACTGCTACCGCTATGTCTAAGAGCGAAGCTGACAAATAGTAGTACTGGTACTATTATTGACCCTATTATTAGTCAGAATTGGCACTGACTAAAGTCAACACTCGGCCCATCTTCCTTTAATATCGACAAGAAGTATGAACCTCGGATAATTATATTCCCAGTATGTACATGTTTGACATCCGGAGCACAACAGGGCCTCCCTTGGTTTCCGCCCACTCAGCTCTATCCACCAGACTGTGGCAGTTTCTACTCAGTCTGGACTACGAGGACTAAGGTACTGCTGCCAAAAGTAGTGTTTCTATACTAAGAGTGCTAATTTTAGTGATCACTTGTCCCAAGACCAGAAAATAGTGTAATGTAATACTGTGTGTGCTTGTAGGAAGTCGGCACCCAATAAACACTATGAGGTAAATAATAATAAACCAATATTAAATGATTACTCAGGTTTATGCCATGAATTTACGTCGCAATGCAATGCTGTTTCCTGTCCATAAGCTAACCCCAGCCTTGCTACAGTATCTGACTTGCGATATACAACGCGTAGCCGCAGGGTACCGTCTTTCCCCATGATTTGGGCGACCGGGGGGTGACCAAGGGAAATTCAATCGGCGCCATAGCCTTTCCATTGAGCATGCCATCTAGCATCGCATTTAGATGTGTCTGGTAGCCTGCGATGGAAACAGCCCTGTAATAATTGCTGTGCTTCTCATAGAGCGACGCCCTGATCATCACAGTAAAGAGTTTGCACCAGGAAATAACATATTTCGTTTGCTTTAGAGTCCACACTATTACGTGAGCGACGGTCGGGTATGTGGCCCCACTGAGAAAACGGGAGGCAAGAACGTCTGTAATATGTGAGTACTAATAAAAGAAGTCTTATGAATTACAAAAAAGGAAACTAACAAGCAGCTATTTTTTGGAAAGCAAAGAAAAAAAGGATATTCTCACCATTAAAATTTTTAAATAAATCAATACAGCCTACAAATACGAGCGCGCAATTTTAAATACTGAAAATTAAGAGCCATAAACCGGTGTACAAATGCAAACTGGGGACATTGTTTAGATATTCTAGGCGAAGTGATCCCAGTCCATCGTGGCCACTCACGTGGAAAGCGAAAATGGGGAGAATAGATCGTTAAATCGGATTCTCATGTTGGCCGCAATTGAACATATATTTAAAATTAACAACGTCGAGGAATTCACCATAGCCCTTACCCTAGTCATAAACCTAACTTGTCATCCAAATCCTTACTCCAAACCCTAACCATAACGCTAGCATCCAAATCCAAACGATGACCCCCCTCCCTACCCTAAACTGAGGGATACAGTAGTTGCCGGTTATTAAGCCCATCTCATACCCAGACCAAATTGGGCTTAATAAGCGGCTGGGCCTATTAACCGTGGCCTTAATAACCAACGACTACTGTAACTCTAATTATAACAGAGTAAACAGAGTTACCTTAAACCTACGTAAATGACATAAGTAAGAATTTCGTTTAAGTAAAGATTAGGTGGGGAGACCTAACCAATCTCCACCGTGAAATGACTATTGACAAGAAGCAGGACACTAGAATGGTCATTTTTGGCTTCTTCGCTGTAATCAATCAGTTATATCGTCAATTATTGACTGCTAATCGCCATGCAAACGCCTGCGTGAATTGCATACTGACTCCCCTAGTGGGTTAGATCAAAACAGAGACAAAACTGAGGCACGCCAGGTGTTATTGAGGCTGTGAACACTTCGCATCTTCGGAGAAGAGCATACTGCGGACCTCAGCGCATTATAATCTATAAAATATATGGCACGTTTGAATCTATCACGACTCGATAAAGCCGTGGTTTTGAAGGCTTTAAACTGACGGGCTAACTCGGTTCTGTCAGGCCGGAGAGTCAGGCGGCAATGGCGCCTTCTGACCGTTCTTCAAATGCCACTCGTGCTCAGAAGGAGTCAGAGCTGTCCTCTCCTTGTCTAAGTGGAAACCTGACCCAGCGCGAGGGAACCAGGTCGTGCTTGGCACGCGTAGACGGATTATTTGGTCTTACCAGGCACTAAGCCCAGTCGTCCTGACCACGCCTTGCCACCGGACCCAGAGAAGTGAGAGAGACAAGAGTGCGGCAAATGCAGTGCAAGTATGGTATCGCTAAAAAACTAATTTGTGCGCCTTTTATCGCCCCGCGCCAACTATGCTGAAGACACACAGTAGACGTCACCGTCCGCAACGGTTGGATGGTAGACTCTCAGACCCGAAGTCAAACGAGAATACTCATTTCCGTCCTGAATCATTGCGAATAAAACTTACTGCTGAACATTTTTGAATATTCCCCTTTAAACTAAGGCATATTTCTCTTTCTCTCTCAGTAGCACAAGAGTCAGTCCTTGGGCCGTTCTTATCCACCATCCACATCAATAACCTGTTACGGGAAGTGAACGCAGATAAAGCGCTGTTGGCAGATGATCTTAAACTGTCGATAGAGCTAAAAAATGAAAAGCACTCCCGACACTACAAGAGGAATGGACCAGCTGCACGCATGGAGCAAGAGTTGTTGCACGAATTTGAACTCCAAAAAGCGTGCATTAGTGACATGTTATCAACAAGAAGCCGAAAAAATGCATTCTCACATCAGTATCTCTTGGGAACCCAACGACTTGAAATTGTTAGTGTGCAACAAGACCTTAGCCTTCTTACTAAAGACGATGTAAATGTCACTACACAGTGCTCCAAAGTCGTAGGAGAGCAATGTCGATTATGAGTGTCATACCACGAACAGTTGTTAACCTGAATGCATATATTTTCGGTAAAACATATGAAGTATTCGTACAGCCGCACCTGAAATATGTGTTACAAGCTTGGAGGCTTTGGCTTCGGAAAGATAAAGGGATTCTTGAAGGTGTCCAAGGGCGTGATACCCAGGGTGACAAGTGAAGTCAAGTTTATTATGGGAAATATAGGCAAACACCTTTGAACTCCCTATTGGTACACAGTAGTGAAGAAATGCATCGGTACAGCCGAACATTTCAAAAGAGATCTTTTAAATAATTGTGAGTGCTTACTCACTTGTTCAAAATAATACAATCACATGTGGTGATAATAGTTAACAGGAGCCAGCAGGTGTAACTGAGCAAAAAGAGCAGAGGCTGAAAAAAACTCCTAAGGCATGGCTCACAATTCAAAAGATTGAATGTCATTTGTGCTTTTTTAGGAGAAAAACTGGTAGGGTTTCCATGTGGGTCTCCGAAAGGACCTTATGTATCATAACCACTTACTTAAAATTCTAATAAGGGTGAATCATGCAAAATCTTCCAGTTTTCTAGACGCCGGCCGTCGACCCAGTAGGGATTGGATGATGACATTGAACTGCAGAGGGATACTCCAAAGGTGGCCGCATACCATAACCGCTTAAGTCAGTGTAATAAGCAATATGGTGTTTTAAATTAACTACGGGAATAATCGCTTACTAACAATTTTTAAGTAGGGTGAATTCTACAATCTCCAACCTTTACTCGTTCGCCCTCTATTTTAGTTGGGGTTAGTGGTTCTACTAGAAAGTGCACCTCAATGAACTCGCCCGAGGTTAGGGCACACACCCCCGAGATACACGCGCCCAACGTTGATCAGGCGGGGGTTAGCAATGATATTAAAGCCTATTTCAGTTTCCTCGCCCGAGGTTTGAGTAGGCGACCCAACTTGTCCTCGTAACTTTTTTAATTTACAGGAATGTTATGATCTAATTTAAATATGGCAATAGCAGCAAAATGATTTATTGGATCCATATCATTT